TATATATATATATAAATAAATTAAGCAGAGGTATGGTACTTACAGCCTCCGCATCCATAGAAGAATCTATGCTGCATATGAGATTTTGAAGCTCTTTGTTCCGTATAGCCTCACGAATTTCATTGGAAGAAGCTGCAACAAAGCTAGAAGATGTCACCGGGAAATGAAAAACTCAAGAAACAGAATATTGGTTTGGCACATGATAAGAAACTCATTAAATGCTAACAAAACCTTCAATGTCTAGTCTAATAAATCTGTATTTTTGTTGAGAGGAGGGTTATAGATAGATCAATCAACGGGCTGTAAATCTGAAAAATTTATAGACAAAGTCCAATAAGGGGTTTACAATTCTTGAAGCCAAAGAAGGTGCATTTCTCAGAACTAGAATATAGAAAGGTATAGTAGTAAAATCTAAGTTAAACACTTAAACTCGGTATCAGTAGCTTTGGCTCTTACTAAGGTGAGATTCTTAGCAAATCATGCCCTTAACCTTAAGCAAAAACATATGCCTTAATATCACAAACCATACTGGAAACAAAATGATGCCTGAATTTAATAAAAGATGATAGCGAAGCACAAATCCTTCCTGATTCCAAGCGATAATGTTGTAGAAACTATTTATTCAGTCTTATGAAAGGAACATGAGGTGTATTTCGATAATATGAGAAAACACATGTCACACTTTTCTCTTCCATTTGAGCGTCACCATATCCCTCTTTAAGGAAGGGAACAAGTATTTTTATCTGGAGGTTGCCTCTCGAAGCACAAGTATGTACATCTTTTTACAAATATGATAAGCTCATGAAGAGCGTGGGCAGTTGTATGTCATCCGCTCGCTATGTTACAGAAATCATGCAGAGAATGAGATACTCAGGTGCTTCCTGAGAATCGGTATTATTTTCTATTACACAATTTGTGAAACATACCTATAGACTCTAGTCGTGACTGATTCAGCACCTCGCTTTGCTCATCAACGTAGATTGGCTTCTCCACATGTGATTCCGGAGCAGAAGCTGATAGATATAAGTTGAGGCATGTTACAATCTTAAAGGAGCATACAATACATCAAGCTTATATGAAACCACCAAACAATGCCTGAATTATACCAGCTGAATTCATCACTGCTTCACACAAACTAGTCAGAGTCGAAGTGTAAAATCATGCTGACTCATTTATAAATATATAGCAATAGGCAAGAGGGTTGATGATCATAACTTACCTTTTACGCAAATACAAATATTCAAAACCAGCAACCATCCCCCGAGTTATCCGCAAACCTAGTAAGCACCTTCCACTGAAACCTTCAAAACTACTTCCTCCCATCTACCCCACCCACCCTCCTCTTTTCCAGCCATTTAACCATCAGCTTACAAGAAATATCCAAAGCCCTAAAATAACGGACGGCCTAACCCCCAGGATCATGTAGCCTCTACAACCCTGTATAACCCACCTTCTTCCTCCTCCGGTTTCCCTGTAACCCTCCCCTTCACTTTCCCTCTGTTCTACTCGTACCTTACCCACCGATGGACCCTTTCCAGCAGTGCTATTCAGATGGATGCAAGACCCATTTGATAATGGGAAAGCTTACAGCACTTCCGGAAAATAAAGCTTAAATATGCTCAAACAGAAAATGTCATGAAGATTTAAGTGAAATAATAGATGTTTCGATTATTTACATGAGAAAAACATAAAAATGTTGGTTCCTTCACACAGTTAGTAATATAAAATAATTATGAAAAGAAAGAAAGAAACATGGAGGTGAAACACTACCCTAAAAGAAGTAGGGGTTAAGTTTGAAAAATCCAAACTAAGGTAGTCTAAGGACCTAGAGAATATTCACTTCTTTCTTTCTATTCTTATAAATCCCTTAATCTTTCTAATGAAGATGCATAAGATAGTGGTTCTAAGTAGTTTTAACAGTAAGATGTGAATGCAAGAAAATGAGAGCAGTGCTAAGCCAGTTGAGGATGCTACTTAGAAGAAGTTGTAAGAAGCATTACTCATTAGTCCATTAACTCGACAATTAAAACTATACATACATAGCAGACAGAAACTTCAATCTGATTCTCCACAAACTCATTCATCAAAGAGAAGGTTTGTCCAATATCGAGGTCTTCAAAATGGTATTGAATGTAATGCGCCATTAGACACAAGGATAGTTAAATGACAACCAAATAAGGCTGAAACTCTTGATTATGAAATACTACAAAGACAATAAACTTCAACTACAATTAAAGAAAAAAACCATGCATATAAAATTCGCATTTTTTTTTGATGACCGAGAAATCGGTCTGGGGCCGATCCTTTGGACCAACCGCGGCCTTAGAAACTCGGTAGATAACGGGCCCGCCCCTCTACCCTTCTCCACTTAAATACCAGGCTTTGCTTTGCATGGTGTGGGGGCTTGAACCTGTGACCTAAGACACAAATCCACCACCCTTTGCCACTTGAGCTAGGCACTGGGGCTCATATAATTCGCATCCTTATAGTGATTATGCAAAGGTATAAAGAGAAAAAAGTTCAACTTCTTACTGAGAAGCTATCCTTACCAAGCTTTTCCACAGAAGAAGGTTCTAGTTCTGGTTCCGGTTTCACACAGAAAATTTCTGCATAATCCATAAATAAGCTCATGTAAAACCCATTTTCATCTTAATCTACAGAAACAAAAAAGCAGTGCCTACATGAATAATCAGATTCATAGAATGTGTTTCCAAGAACAAACCTTTATGCTTCTTGAAACAGACCAAAGAACAACTGCAAGACAAAAACAAAAACAACCAAAAAAGTTACGGATCATTCAATTATCTTTCTAATAACACAACCCAGTTAAGTTATATGCCCTGAAAGTATAATGAATTGTTCACATCATCGTCAATGTAATTTAAACTGTTATAACAAGTTGCTTACCATAGCTTAAGTTATATAATTATATCGTCAATGTACGAAACTTTTACACTCATAGGTCACTTTTACCTGTTATAGCAGGTAATATGTATTACAAATCTCACATTAACGAGGTTTACATGTATATATTCTTGAGTGACATGATAGTGTAATACTCCCTCTGTCCCAATTTATGTGAACCTATTTCTTTTTTGGTTCATTCCGAAAACAATGACCCCTTTCTAAATTTAGTAATAATTTGGCTTTAATTTACAATTCTATCCTACCACACAAATACTCTGGCCCCTTTTTGACTTGTTTAGGACCATATATTTTAAAAGTTTTTCTTAAATTCTGTGTTCGATCAAATAGGTTCACATAAATTGGAACGGAGAGGGAATATAACTTAAACTCATTAAAAATTACCAATCAATACTATTAAATAGAGAAAACCACATGATTATGTACATATTTTTTCCACCATCGGTGCACAGAACTTAAATTCTTTACTAAATAAACAAAACCTACTGCTATAATATTTTTTCCACCGTCGGTGCACAGAACTTAAATTCTTTACTAAATAAACAAAACCTACTGCTATAATATTTTTTCCACCGTCGGTGCACAGAACTTAAATTCTTTACTAAATAAACAAAACCTACTGCTATAATATTTTTTCCACCGTCGGTGCACAGAACTTAAATTCTTTACTAAATAAACAAAACCTACTGCTATAATATTTTTTCCACCGTCGGTGCACAGAACTTAAATTCTTTACTAAATAAACAAAACCTACTGCTATAATATTTTTTCCACCGTCGGTGCACAGAACTTAAATTCTTTACTAAATAAACAAAACCTACTGCTATAATATTTTTTCCACCGTCGGTGCACAGAACTTAAATTCTTTACTAAATAAACAAAACCTACTGCTATAATATTTTTTCCACCGTCGGTGCACAGAACTTAAATTCTTTACTAAATTAACAAAACCTACTGCTATTACGCCTCAATCCAAACTAATTAAGTCCACTGTATGAATCATCTGACTTAAAACCCAGAATCAAATGTAAAATCCAAATAAACATAATTCAAATAATTAGAGCAAGAACGGGTATATTTACTAGGGTATGAAGCAATTGGGACACTTGTATTTTGATTGTGCGTCGTCGCATACTTTGCAATTTTTGGGTCCCATTTTCCTTCTGATTGATTTATCGTATTTTCTTTGCTACAGAATCAAAAGCTGATTATAAGTTGATGTGTAGAATGGAGAACAGTTCACAGCTGAGAGCGAAGAGGTTGAAAAATATTTGGAGTTTTTGCGGGTTTTTGATACGTAAGGGTTAGTAATGCCAAATCGGTCCGCTTACTTCGAGTTATATTCAATATGGTCCCAACACTTGGTCAAATTGTTGTATCCTCCGCCTTTAAACAAACAGAAAAGGCAATTGACAAAGATTATTTTTAGTCTGAAACTGTTTTGTGACGACCCACATGGGTCATCACCTATTTTCTTTTTCATTCCGTGCTTCCGAGACTTTGAAAATCTCAATTTTAGTCGCCTCAATTTGCTTGCGCAGCCCGGACGCGTAGCCGGAAAGCTTAAATATGAATTCAGTAAGAAAAATTTTTAAAATTTGATATTAAATTGAATAAAATTGACTTCGGTCAATATTTTAGGTAAACAGACCCGGGCCCGTGATTTGACGGTCCCAGAGGATCCGTAGGAAGATATGGGACTCGGGCGTATGCGCGTATGCCCGGAATCGAAATCCGAGATTCCGAGCACGAGAAATGAATTTTTAAAAGAAATTGTTTTTCTAAATTTATTAAAGAAAATTTGAAATGAAAATTGATTAGAACATGTTAGTATCGGGCCCGTATTTTGGTTCCGGCGCCCGGTACAGGTCTTCTATGTGTTTTAAGATATTTCTGTGAAGTTTGGTTGAAATCGAACATCGTTTGACGTGTCTCGGACCTAAAACTCTAAATTTGAAAGCTTATGAAGTTTGAAGAAAAACTAGTGATTTTTAGGTTTGATTCCTTATTTTTTATGTTATTTTGGCGATTTGATCGCACGGTTAAGTTCGTAAGATGTTGTTGAGTTAGTGTATGGGTTTGGTTAGGAGCCCCGAGGGCTCGAGAATGTTTCGGAGTGATTTCGGCCTTAGAAAAGTTGCAGAAGTTTCAGTTCTGGTGTTCTGATATCCAGTGCTATGCGATCGCATAGGCCTTTGCGCGATCGCATAAAGTTAAATTCCAGGTGCCCTGTTTGTTCAATGCGATCGCGTATATTATCCTGCGATCGCGTAGAGTAGCCCCTCTTTGTGAAATGCGACCGCACTAACTTCCGCGATCGCAATGAATAAAAGCCAAAAAAATCGAAATGAGCCTGCTTTCTTCTACGCGTTCGCAATAGGCCTTCCGCGATCGCAGTGGCCAACATTTCTATCCCTATGCGATTGCATGAGCTCCTTCGCGATCGCATAGAGTATTTTGTGCCCAGTTATATTATAAGTTCCCGAATAGTAGATACAGGATTTTCACAAAAATACACGAACTCCTTTCTTCTCCAAGCACTTAGGCGTCCATTGAAGCTCCTTTTCACCTAGACTTCTTGCGTTAGTAAATCTTAACTCATTTTCTTCGTTTTCCATTAATGTTTATTGAATTCCTAAGCTTAAATCATGTAATTTAGGGTACAAATTGGGGGGAAAGGGTAAAACTAGGGTTTTTACTTTTTCTTGATTTAGACATCGTTTTGGGGTCGAATTTAAAAATAAATTATATATTCGGGCTCGTGGGGGAATGGGTGATATGAATTTGGTCCGAACCTCGTGTTGTGACCAAGCGGGTCCGAGGTCAATTTTGGAATTTTGGGAAGAAAGCGTTGAAATTTATATTTAGGAATTAGTGTTTGAACTGTTTAGAATATATTGATATTATAAAGTCCTTATTGTATAGATTTGACTAAGTTGGAGCCGAATTCGAAAGGGAAAGCGGTTGTCGTGGATTGATTTGGCCGTGGAAGTTGAGGTGAGTGTTTGGCTTAACCCTAGCTTGAGGGAATATGAGTTGAGTCTTAATTGTAACTTCCTAATTGTCGAGTACGATGTATACGCATGATGACGAGTATCTATACATTGGTGTCTAGCATGACCGTGAGTCCTTATTAACGGATAGACTGGTTATTATTATGCCTTCTATGATTAATTGATGACTTCGATATGTTGTAAAGACCTTGTGAAAGAAATTGTGATCTTGGAACTTCGTGGAGCATTGGCTCGGCTTGAAATACAAATTGTGAAGGTATTTGAGATAATTAACTCCTTGGAGCTTTGGCTCCAGTGATAATGTGCAATATAAGGTGAAAGTGAAAGAAAGAGAAGAGTTAATGATTTGTTCCCTTGCCGGGATTTCCATTATTGTTTTATTATTTCCCTTGCCCTTTTTTGAGATCGTTGATTGGGTGAGGAAGAGTGTTAAAGTACGAAGGATAATGTCATGCACTGAATGATAATTATGGATCGAGCTGCACGCCGCAACAATGTTAAATAATTGTGGATCGGGTTGCACGCCGCAACAATGTTAAATAATTGTGGATCGGGTTGCATGCCGCAACAATGTTAAATGATATGGATCAGTTTTCACGCCGCAACAATGTCAAATGATATGGATCGGGTTGCGCACCACAACAATTATTGATACAAATGTGTCTATTTGGGTATTTGTTTCTTGTCCGCTGTAAATTCTAAGCTGCCCTTAGATTGTTATTCGGGATTTACTATTAATATTGTTATCTCCCCACAGCATGCTCCCCTCCCCCCTCCCTCCCAGTATTGTTTACTTGGCTGGTATTTCGATTTTGCTGTATATTTATGATTGTACAGGTTTATGTGGTAGTCCAGTCTAGCCTCGTCACTACTTCGCCGGGGTTAGGCTAGATACTTACCAGCACATGGGGTCGGTTGTGCTGATACTACACTCTGTGCTATTTTGCACAGATCCAGGTTTCGAGCAGGAGCAGCAACAGTAGCGTGGGAGCAGACTTTCAGCCTTGGAAAGACTCGAGGTAGCCTTGCAGGAGTCCGCATGCCCGGCGTCTTCCCTATCCTTATTTTAGACTGTCATCTCCTTGTATTCAAGATAAACAGATTTACATTTCTTTCAGACTTTGTATTTAGTATTCTTAGATGTTCGTGAGCATGTGACTCCAGTTCTTGGGTAGAGATTTATGTTGGAAATTCTGTATTTTTGTTCGGCTAATTAAATTTAAGACTTCCTCTTATGATTTTTAATTCCGTTGATTCTATTTTTTTATGCTGTTGAATTACTAAAAGGAACTTGTGTTTAATGAAAAGTAATCAAGTTTGGCTTGCCTATATCCTATTAGTAGGTGCCATCACGACCCCGAGGGTGGGAAATTTGGGTCGTGACAAGTTGGTATCAGAGCACTAGGTTGCATCGGTCTCGCAACTCACGGACAAACTTGGTAGAGTCTGAGGGATCGGTATGGAGACGTCTATATTTATCCCTCAGAGGCTACAGAGTTAGGAAATGTTCACATTTGTTCTATCCAATCATGCGGTTCTGTTTCTGAAATACTGATTGTCTTTCTACTCTATTCTTCGCAGATGGAAAGAACACGCGCTTCCTGATCTTCTGATCATCAGCCCGAGCCCCAGGCAGCTCTCACTAGGGGCAAAGGACGAGGCCGTGATAGAGGCCGGGGTAGGGGCAGAGCTTAGCCCCGAGCAGCAGCACCAGCGGTGGAGCCTCAGGTTGATTTTGAGAAGGAGGTTCCCACCCCAGCAGTTCCGGTGGGCATAGCTCAGGTCCCAGAGGGGTTTATTGCCACCCCAGTTCTTCAGGACGCTTTGGTCCGATTTGTCGGCCTCATGGAGAGTGTTACCCGAGCGGGTTTGCTTTCTGTAGCACCAGCTATCTCACAGGCTGGAGGAGGGTCCCAGACTCCTGCTACGCATACTCCGGAGCAAGTAGCCCCCCCAAGTTCAAATTCCAGTAGTTCAGCCAGCTATGACAGTTCAGCCGGGGGTAGTTGCTCAGATCGGCGATAGCGCGGCTATGTCCGCAGATGCTTTATGGAGGCTGGACAGGTTCACCAAGCTCTTCACTATCACATTCAGCGGTGCTTCTTCTGAGGACCCCCAGGATTTCTTATATAGCTGCCACGAGGTTCTTCGGAACATTGGCATTGTTGAGACCAATGGGGTCCATTTTACCGCCTTTCACCTATCTGGATCCGCCAAGACTTGGTGGAGAGATTATTGCTTAGCCAGACTAACAGGGTCGCTGTCTTTGACTTGGGATCAGTTTTCAGAGTTGTTTCTGGAGAAGTTTCTCCCCGTTACCCAAAGGGATGCTTATCGGAGGAAGTTTGAGTGCCTCCAGCAGGGTTCTATGACGGTTACTCAGTATGAAACCAAATTTATTGACCTAGCTTGCCATGCTCTTGTCATACTTCCCACCGAGAGGGAGAGAGTGAGGAGGTTTATTGATGGTCTGATTCAGCCGATTCGTCTCCAGATGGCTAGGGAGACTGCTAGTGAGATCAGCTTTTAGGAGGCATCCAATGTGGCCCGCCTAGTTGAGATGGTTCTGTCATAGGGAGGTGGTCACGGGGGAGAAAAAAGAGCCCGTCATTCCGGCAGATTTAGTGGTACCTCGTCTAGAGGTAGAGACTCATATGGTAGAGGCCATCCTCCTAGGCCCTTTCAGTCAGCTCTCCAGGTTTCACACGTCACTTCGGGTGGCCGTGGTTCTCAGGCACACTACCCTGACCAGCAGTCGTTCAGTGCACTGCCATTTTAGAGTTTCCGTGGAGGTTATTCAGGTCGTTAGGGCCAGTAACAGTTTCCTCAGCCATAGCGTTCGAATGGATGTTATGAGTGTGGTGAGTATGGTCATATCAGGAGGGCTTGCCCGAGGTTGAGGGGTACTCAGTCGCAGCAGCATGGTCCCCGTCCTATGATTCAGGCACCAGATGTTCCGCAGCTAGCTAGAGGCGGGGGTAGAGGTGCTAGAGGTGGAGGTAGAGGTCTTAGAGGTGGAGCTCAGATTGCCAGGGGCAAAGGTCACCTAACAGCAGATCGACCTAGGGATACAGTTCAGGGTGGTAGGGCCCAGCTCCATGGTTATGCACTTCAGACTAGGCCCGAGGCTGAGGCTTCAGATGTAGTCATTACAGGTACGATTCTGGTTTGTGATCGAGATGCTTCGGTACTATTTGATCTAGGGTCTACGTATTCATATGTTTCGTCTTATTTCGCACCATGCTTGGTCATGCCTGGTGATGCTTTGGGTATTCCTGTATATGTGT